TATATTTATATCTATATAATAATATATATATAAATAATCTATATATATATATATTATATTATATATATATTTATATATATGCGTGTGTGTGTGTGTGTGTGTGTGTGTGTCTTTATGTACGTATATATGTATGTATGCATATGTATGTATGTATGTATGTATGTATGTATGTATGTATGTATGTATGTTTGTATTTATGTTTGTATGTATAAATGTTTTATTTGTTGTGTAGCGACATCGTTAGATATTTGTACATTGCATGAATATGATGTACGTACAATAGGCGCTGATATACACCGCATACTCCACTTGTGATATAATACAAAAACAATGCGCCAAGATATGTGTATGAAATTGTATTGAACTCTCTATAGTAGAGCGCATATATATAGCTTGCAACTGCCTATATGACCTCATATCTCGGAGAAGACCGATTCGATTGTTGGAGATGCACACAAAACTACAACACTTCTCTGCGTTTGAACGCACCCGTGGGGTGTGCACAAGGAAGGTCTGGCAGTTACGTGACATGTGAAAGGTGTATGTGGAACCAACGTTGTATGCGTAGTATCGCATCACTGCTATCAGAAGCAACTGGTATAGTCCCCGTATGGCGATCAAAGTGTACTACCCGCACGCTCTCCTGCCGGCTACTTATACAAATACATATACATATACATATACATTGACATACACATACACGTATACATATACATATACATATATGTACATGTGTGTATATATATCCACTTTATATATACATACATATATATGCCTACCTGCCGTTGCCGTTGGCGCTCATCAGCCCAGTCAAAGCCGGTGGACGTGTTCTCAGCGACCTCTCGCGACTCTCGCCCAGTGCTTGGCCTGGCTGTGGGTGTCTGGTCCGTTAGACCCACTGGCGCCAGTGCCTGTGCTTGGCCCGTGGCTTGTCCTCTACTGCAGCTGCCTCTGTGGTCGTCCATATCCATGGGTGTGTATTGGTCTGTGGTGGGTGCAGTTGAGGTGCTGGTTGCCGGGTTGCTTTGCGCGGGTGCGGGTGGGTGAGTGTTGTCGCCACTCCCCTGTGCGGGTGTGCGGGTGTGTTCTGCCTCGTCTGTGGCCATCCCACGGGTGGCTGCTGTGTCTGTATATGTTGTTGTGGGCTGTGTTTGTATTGGCTCCAGCGCTGGGGTTTCTGATGCCACGGTGGGCGCTAGGACAGAAGCTGTGTCAGCCCTCGCAGGGCTTGCGGTGGCAGTAGTAGGTACCTCCGGAACTGTACGTTCGGCTTCGGCAAATTTCTCGTACCGAACTTTGAGGAGCGTCTACGTGACAAGCAAGTAGCAGTCACAGATGATTTTAGGGTTTAGGGTTCAGGGTTTAGGGTTTTGGCACATTTTGACTCGTTTACCATATCCGGGGTTCAAATATTTTTGCTTGGCCCACTGAGAAGTGATAATTCTGGAGCTATGCGCAACTACTGTGGTTAGCTAACGTTAACTGGTGCAGATGGGATAGCCAGGACACTCAGACGCAATCGACTACAGATGCCACTTAGAAACTGAACACAAAGGCACGCCATCGTGATAACTAGTCGCGTCGACTCCCTGAAGCTATGTATGCTAGCACGAACCCACAGTAGTGTCTTACCACCAAACATGTTCACATCTCTACAGCTAGACCCACAAGAAACGATGAGGGTTTAGGGTTTAGGGTTTTGAAAGGATACATTTAATTTTGTACCATGGTGGGCACATCATTTTTAATGCAGTACATGCTCTCGATTGGTCTCCTTATAGAGCAAATAGTATACCGTCAATGACTCCATATGCACACATAAATCTACACTTCACAGGGAACTAAAATAGTGAATATATATATATATATGTGTGTGTGTGTGTGTGTGTGTGTGTGTGTGTGTGTGTGTGTGTGTGTGTGTGTGTGTGTGTGTGTGTGTGTGTGTGTGTGTGTGTGTGTGTGTGTG